ATAAGGCAGTTCTGCTTTTAATTTTTTTAGGTAACTCCATACTTTTTTCCGTAGTGGCTGCACCAATCTGCATTCCCACCAACAGTGCACAACAGTTCCTTTTCTCCAGATCCTTGCCAAAGTTGGTGTTTGTTGATTTATTGATGGCAGACATTCTGACAGGTGTGAAGTGATATTCCATTGTGGTTTAATTTGCATCTCTCTGACAATTAGTGACATTGACCATTTTTTCATGTGTCTATTGGCCATCTGTATGCTCTTTTTGGAAGAGTGTCTATTCAGGTCCTTTGCCCATTTTTTAATCAGGTTGTTTGGTATTTTGGTGTTGAGTTGTTATCAGTTCTTTATAAATTTGGATATTAACCCCTTATCAGATGTATAATTGGTGAATATGCTCTCCCACTCAGTAGGTTATTATGATAACTTTATTAATCTCAAGAAAATGGCTGATGTTTTAACTGCATCCTAGTCAAAGGCTTCCAAAGCTCCAAATCACCTGCAAGGTCTGATCTAGAACACTCAGTACATGGACTTTGAAAATGAATGGCCTGCACTGGCTAAAAGGGCAAGTATAAATTAATATCAAAAAAGAAATAAAATGTCATGGAAGTGATACCAACAAAGTGTATGATCAGAAGCAACTGGAGGTGAGGAAAATGAAAGGAGAATGGTGAATGTGATACAAAATGAAGAGCAAAGAGACAAAAGTTAAAAATGACTAGAAAGCAAGGATTATCGCATTGGGAAAGAAAAAACCTAAAGAATGTGGTTTTTTACAAATAGCTTTAATAGACTGTAGGCCTGGAGAAAAGGAACATGAAGGGCAGTCAATCAAGAATTAGGGCAGTGGTTCTCAACCTTCCTAATGCCGTTGTACTGGGCTGCATATCTGGCACTTCGGCCAGAAGGGGTGCGCTGTGCTGTCTGTTCCTAAAACACATAGACAGGAAGGTACTGACATCAGGCCAGGCCTTGAGATATAGTCTCATGGCTCCTTCCCAGCACGCAGGCCTTCTTTCTCAGAAGGCCCGGAAGTCTCATTCCAAATTTGGGAGACAAAAGACTGGAAAAAGTATAAATAAAGAGAGTTGTCCTCCGTATTGGGGGGCCCAGAATTTGAAAGACACATTTTCTCTGGGCCTCCACAAAATTTAATAATAAAATGTAACTCCTTTAGTCTTTGCTGCTGTTCAGCCTCTG